ACAGTCAGTTATGATGCAGAAACTGAGCATTCATCTATCAATTTCCAAAGACCTGTTTTTCTATATTTTGGATTGGCACTTTATTCTACGCATGGTCTCTTCTCTCCATGGTTGGTGTTTGGACATGTCCAAGTGGAGCTTTGTGGCACTTTCTCGCCTATTTCCATTTCTAATTCTTTTGATAAGATCTAATCCTCTTTATACCATCAGAAACACTTTGTTCTTCTCTTTCTAGTCACGTTTAATTTTGAACAGATTGAGGTGCTTCAGGGCAATCTCAGAGACCTCCCCTTTCTGCCTACAGACTGACACTTGTCTTTCTGCCAAATTCATTCAGTGATGACATGGACCCAGGAAGAAATGCCTCATACAAGGAAGGAATTGAACCCAGGTAACAAATATTGTTTGGCATGAAAGTGGAAAGTGTCATAAAATATTTTGCTAACACGTTTGCATCACTGTTTATATCATTGCCATATCGAGCCCAATGCTCTGAGCACAGCATTTTAAGAGACAAGAATAAATCACAGCCACCACCCCTGCCCACTCTCATCACCAGTACCATCCAGTATCTGCCCAGGCACTGGCCTAAACTGAGTTCAGGACGAAGCCTCATACTTAGACTGTGATGTGTTTTTAAATCACAAATTAAGAAGCCTCAAGTCTTAAGAACTCTCTCCCTTTGGAACACAGTTACCTAATCCAGAACTATTAAGTTTTCTTATGTACAAAAAGCCCTGAGAAAAGTAACACTATGCCTCCTAAGTATTCTGGTTTGTAAAGAGCTCATGTCTTCTGGGAGCTTTTAAAGTCAACGTTGAATAAGTTTTTCACCCCATATTCCTTCCCAATACAAGGTCATGCAGCTGAATTCTAAGAAATCATTTCCTGACCTACTATTCTCTGACACGCCTTTTTCAGTAACAGCCCCTTAGATATATACTGTGTACATAGATCAACTTAGAGGCTTTTGTGGAAACAACCTTTTAAATTTAAGGAAATGAAGTAGAGAGATGAAAGATTAAAATGCACCTACAAGCAGCAATTTGTTGGAAAGGTGATGAATCCGCGTCTCGAGCTATAACGTACTGAATTCCGAGTGTTGTTTTTGGAGTACGCATCCTGAGAATTAAACTCCCTACTTGTGGTCATGTTAGCATGATTTTACTTGAGGCAAATTCCTTTGAATCTGAGTGCTTTCAGGCATTTGTCTGAAGTAACTCACTCATGAATAGGATTAAGGAAATGTTCATAATTCTCTCCAACCAAGAACCATCTCCCCACTCTCTCGGGCATGGGAAGATGGCTCCATATAAGAGGTTCATTTATTTCCATGCACTTGTGATTTTGTTTATCAAGTGATGTGAATGGCGATTGAGTATCTGGTTCAAAACCAAGACTCCTCTTTTCCAAATTACATAGCTCCCCTTTTGAGGAGAATCAAGAAGGCATTCCCTGATGTTTATGATACTGCCTTCTGTATTATGCTTGAAGAGAAAAGAGAGGTAATCATTTGGGTGTGCAAGCAAGAAATTTACTTTCTCATTGTTTTAAGTTAAAACCTATCTAAAAGTACTCTGTGAGGCAATTCTGGGATACATTTCTGTATTCCTGTATCACTCACATTTTCTTGGTTGCTGATAAGTGAATCATAATCCACAGGATCTCACATACATTTGGGTGCATAATCAAAGTAGACAAATGCATCTCTTACCAGACTCCTGAGCACATACAAACACCTGCTGACATCATCAGTTCGTAGTTCTACATGAGCTAAACCCTCAGCCAGAACTACCAGATGTTCACCATCAATTCTAGGCCTACAGGAAGGTCAAATGAGGCGACCATCTAACCTGTTAATAATGGACAGGGAGATCTGGAAACTTCCCATTTCCCCTTGGAGAACTTGCAAGGAAATTTGGCAAGGGGCGGAAAAGGTCTCTCCCCATGCCTGTCAGCCACCAAAGGCGATGTATTACTTTCCGGCTGTTGATTTTTTCCTGTGATCTGGATCCTGACAAAGTGACTCCGCAGTATCCCTGGGTAATTATTACAGTCTCATCGTTTGGAGTTAGTTCCTCTAAAGAGTCTGTCACTACATACATATATTACATATATATAATATATATGTGATGTATATGTTCACTATCTATTATATGTATAATGTTTAACTTCCTGAGGAGGAAGTGGAGGGAGCTGAGTTCCCCTGCAAAGAGCCCCTCTGTGGTGGTCGGTCGGCGGGCTGCGGATGCGGGCCCCGGGGGAGGAGTCGAGGGTCGCGGGGGAGGAGCCGAAGCCCCGGGGGCGGAGTCGCGGGCCGCGGGGGAGGAGTCGAGGGCCGCGGGGGAGGAGCCGAAGCCCCGGGGGG